AAAAGTCCTTGACTAGCATAAGCACTACTTAGCAATAACTAGAATATCAGTGTGTTATCAGCATTCTTCTCATGCTAAATCCAAAACACAGCACTATGCCAGCTACTAGGAAGAAAATTAACTCTATCCCAGCCGAAACCAGGACACAGTACTAAGGAAGACATTATGAAAATTAAAAATCTACCCCGTGGCTTATCGCATCTTGCTTAGGACATCAAAGAGTCTGTTCACTTGCTGCTTCCAAGACTGTCTTGTCTGCAAGAGCTGCCTTCACCTAATTGTTTTTTTTTTTTCCCCCCAGTGTATTAAGTCTCTAGAACATCCCCCATGTGATAGTCTGTCCTTGGCTGTAACTGTTACATAATCCAACACTTTTGGACACAAACCTATTATGAACAACACAGTTGTAAGCTATAGATGTTAAGTAATTCTGCATTAGATAGTAAAGCATATTTAGCGGCATTATAGGGATATGTAAGCTATGCCAGAAAGATGAGTGACTTCTCTAGATCTCAGCTAAGATTTCTGTTAATAAAACTATATAGAAGGCCAAGTTTTCAAAGTGATTAGAAACTTTGGTCACTCAATTTTTAGCTGTTCAACATAAAATACCTTAAGAGGTTGATTTTTAGGAAGCAGACATTTCTCATATCCTAAAAACCAGAATGTCTTTTACAGTTCTCAAGCTGATACTTCAAAAATGAGAAACCTCGTAGTACCACTTACTTTGAATATGTCCTTTTAAATCAATATGAAGACCACTAGAGTGGTGAAAGTTTGGAATAGGAACTTGAGAAGATGACCTGCATGATTAGCATCTTATACTACATCAGGATTGCCATTCTGTAATAATACTTTGCACGTAACATGAAAGATTCATCAGGTATACACTTGTAGACAAATCTCCAGATAATACTCAGTAATATCCACTACTTTCAGATAAAAAAAAAAAAAAATCTGAGTGAAACAATGAGATCCTGGGATTATAACTTGGGGAGAGGGGGTTGTAGGAAGAAGGAAATGGGATATTTCTCCAAGACCTCAACTCAAACTTATTCCTCCCTGTAGAACGTCATGCATCTCTCAGGTCCTCATTTTTTTGTGAGAGTATGATAGTCTTCGCTAAGATCTTGCTAGTTGTATATTTTTTTTTTATGTTGATGATATTTCTGTAAATCATTTCCTCTTTTTTCTAAGTACATAATTTCACAACTGATCTTTATGTTCATTCAAACAATGATCAAGGATGATAATGATCAAGTAGCTTCTCTGCATGTTAAAACAGATTAGCTTTTCCCAACTTCTGCGTGACGGTTTGTGTAACGATACTTTGTTGAAGGTACACCTGAAAGCCTGAATATTTTTTTTTCAGCTCAGCCACCTGGTTTGGACAGAACTGTTGCCTCCCAGCTAACCCAGCTTTTTCTGACTGTTAACCTGGAGTGCCCATTTTATGAGGTATGGTACCTATGAAACCAGAACTGTTGCTAGCAAGAGCTGATAAGGTCATTAGGGCCCTGCTGATAACTAGTTGAAGACTGTCTTTTCCATAAAAACATTGGAATTGGACGAAACAGCTTTTTTTTTTTTTTTCCCCCTTGATGAAAATACGAAGCATTTCTGCCTGTTTGATTGACTTGATATATTTGTATGTTTGACAGAACTGACTAGCTCTACATTAAAGTGCTTTTTGCATGTTTGAGTACTTTTCCAACAGCTATTCCTTTTTTATGTTTGACTTGTGAAGCCTTAGAGAACAAAAGAGATCAGGCACTTTGATGTTGGCCTGACTGCAGAGGAATGGAAACAGTTGTGCATTTCTCACGAGCAATACATTCAGCGTGATAGCATGGAAGCTTGCTGAGGATATTCTGGTGGTTGGTCTTTGGTTTGGTTTTGTTTTTTTTTTTAAGTTTCTAGCAGATCACACCTCAGACTGTAAGTCTCTCAATAGACATAGCTTGAGATGCATGGAATACATTTTGCTACATTAATATGAGGTAGCAAAAATATTATCTCCCTGTTTCTTTGATTTGGTTTTCTGTCATTATGTAGGGTCCCAAACTCCTTCCAAAGTATCAAGTAAAGGCCTTTCTCACACCTCACAGTTCCCTGGATGTTCACCTCCTCAAAAGGGTGAAGACTGGATTACTTTATTTACTGAAAAAAAGAATATATTTTGCATCAGAGGTATCAACTCCGTATTTCTATACAGTTGGTAAGTAACATTTCTTCAGATTAATAATAAGATGTGTACTTATGTCATCAGAACTTTAGGCTCAGTTATTTTCCAGAAATAAAAATGATTTATTATATTCCCTTTGTGTGCATTCTAAATTGTGCAAATGTGGAAAAAGTAAACTGGAAGACAAAACTCTGTAGAAGGTCTGAAATGAGGAAACATTATGTGAACTTTAAGTAAATGCATTTTCAAAGTGAGAAGGAAGAACAGGGAGAGAAAAGAACTGCAATAGTACTTGGAATTTACGCTGCACTGAAAATAGCTGCTAACTTGTATTCTGTATTTTTACTATCATCTTCCCTTTTACTTATCCTGTAAACAACTTGTATAATGTAAAGTAAAATGAGGCAATGCCACTTGCCTGATCTCTCTGCTTTGGTGGTGAGTAGAGAAAGGGATAGCTGGAAGGTTGTCAGCTCTCTGCCCTGCTCAGCTCCTCTCCCCTTAGCAAGAACTGTTGACTACATACAGTCAGTGGGGGTTTGTGGACTGAAAGAGAGGAGTAGGCAAAACAGAGCATTTCATGCGTCAGGAAAGGAAACCAAGAGAAGGTAATAATGAGGAAAGATGTGTGCCTAGGAGGGGTGGAGGATAAAGACGGTGTTGAGGAAAGGGTCTCAGACCCCATTGATATCATAGGGATGGAAAAAAAATTAAAGAGAAGGATGACTCTAGAATTACTCTGCATTTCAGCTTCCACATGGGGTTGAAGTTGGCAGGGTGTAGGTCCCAAGCTCTGTTTGCAGATTGACGTAATCTATAAAATTAGGGAGTTAGTGAGAAAAATAAAGGGGTGGGAGAGTTTCTTCCCAAAGCCCTCAAAATACCAGAGGCCCTACCCAGCACAGCAAAGTGCCATTTAACTACATTATGGTTTTTAGTGGACTTGAAATACTACTTTGCTGTTAGCATTATGAAAGGCTGAAGTGTTACTAATTATCACTCATTTGTGTTAAGTAGTCTATACACATCTTTTACAAGCCTCTGTGATTCAGGAAAAAGTATTGTGGTAGTATTTTAGTTGTTTTATAAAACAATGAACTGTAAGAGGATGAGAATTACAGTAAACAGTTTGTTACATGAAATGCGTTCTAATGTCACTTCGTTTTTCATCTATACTAGATATTGAGATTAAATTAGATGAAGAAGGTTTTGTATTGCCTGCTGCCCAAAGTGAAGAGGTACACAGACGGTAAGAGAATAAAAGAAACCACTGGTAAAATATTAACATTGACAAAGAGCATCTGGGGTGAAACCAGAGCAAAATTTAAGCTAATTGGAGTTTTGCCACTGACCTCAACAAAGCTAAGGTTTCACATTGAAGCCACTGGAAAAAGGACAAAGTTGGCAAAATTAACGATCTGCACTTTTTCCTCATTATTTTGGCTCCTGACTATACAGTGTCAGACAATTAGTCTCTTTACTTAGTGACAGTCAGGATCAAAGCAATCCTGATTTGGCTTAGTGTATTTTGATCTTCTGTAATTAATTTTCGAATTAAAACAAAATTAATTCTAATTGAGTGTGTCCGCATAGATTTAACACAGTTTAAGCCAGTTTGAGTTCACAAATTGACTTCTGTAAGGAATCCTGTGTAATGAGGATGTTTGCTACAGATGCTGTTTTTATTGAAAAATGCATAGGTGTTTAAAAAATACGTTAAACAAGGATTATTTTGAGAAACCTTGGATACAAAGTTAAGCAACCTGCCTGTGTGGTATTTGCAATTGCACTTCTGTGGATAAAGCAAAAGGCTTTGAAAAGGTTATGTTTTCTCTAGCTTAACTTTCACAAGACTCACAGACTAATATAGGTTCTTTCAAAAATCCCATGCTTAAATGTTTGAGAATGGGCTTTGAATTTTTTTTTTAATTACAGCTTTCATGGGTAAATATGGTCACAATATAGTTAACATATTGAAATTTAAGCAACTTTTTTACAGTGGATATAAAAATTTTGGTTTAAGTTGATGTGATTTTTATCACCAAGGAGAAGAAATATTGTTATAATCCATGATGCTGTCAACCATACGTACAGGTTAAACTTAAACAGATTTAGTTTAAACTTTAACTTAAACTCTAACAGGTTTAACAGGTACACTAATAAGTTGAATAAATTTCGCTGCTGAAATGTTTTCAAGCTGAGACAAGTATTTTGTATGTTTTTCCTTCAAGAAGAATTCAAAACATCTTACCAATAGTAGCATTAAATATACCAAACTCTTATTAACTTGTATGGTAATTTCTATTCGGAGCATATAAATAAGCTTTTCAGATCAGTTTCACTAAGCTTCAGGCTTTCCTTCTCCCACCCTTAAATTGAGTGATTTAAATTCTCCTGAACTAGGTAACTCCCATCCTACAACATCTAATTCTAGGAGGTATTAGAGAGTACAAGGGGAGGTATTGTCTTATGCTTCTTAGGAACTGCGGTAGTTGTGATGATTAAAATAAGTGATTTTTTGTTGTTGTTGTTTTTGATACTACACTTGTGCTTGATTTTAGAATTGCCCTCTGTGTTGATGGTCAAAATAGATTTTGCGTTAATAGCCACAATCTGTTGGGAGAAGAAGCTATTAAACAGAGACACCTTCACTTACTTGGTTATGAAGTCGTGCAGGTAAAGTCCAAAGACAGTGGTTTGCTTTTGCTCTGGCTAACAAAACAAATGAAAAATTATTATTTTATAATGCTTGAAAATGTAGTTGCAATTACTTCCCAAGGTAGATGTAGTCTTGTCCTTTCTGTATTATGTTCTCTCTGCCTAGTTTTTGCCTTTTTGAGGGTGTTATAGAAATTCCTTTTTCTTCCTTGGATCAATTAGTGTATTCTGCCTGTGTTTTCTGCCAAATAGTGGCTGCTTAAAAGAGTACTTCTCTGCAGTGATTAAGGTTCAAATCTTGAGTTAACGGAAAATGTTGTCTAAGAGTTCAGTAGAATTGGGATTTTTAATTAAATACTTTTGAAAAAAAGGTCTGAATTTGGAGTTTAAAAAGAGGAGTTAAAAAAAAGGAACTATTTTGTATTGTAAATAGTGTTTTCACAGCAGAGTATATCCTTTATTTTGCCTGTTGAATTAATAGGGGTATTTTTATCTTTAAACATACTTCAGAGCAAAACAGTTACTTTTAGATTTTTGAGATTTTCTTTTCCATTTATAATCATTTATCACATAAGCCTCCATTATATTTAACTTAGTTTAAACTGTAATGGATATCACTCTTTGTTTTACAATAATCTCTATTCAGGTGATTTACAGATCAATAATACACTTAGGATTAAATGTTTAATTTTAAAACAGACAAATCTTTGATGTGTAATTTTACATCTGTTAATGAACATCAGCCTTACCCAGTTGCTTATTAAAAGGTATTTCCAACAATCATTTTTGTTTTGTTTCCAGATTCCATTTTTTGAGACAGAGAGTCTACAAAATTCCAGAAAAATGGCAGAATATCTACACAAAAAAATCTTTCCTCATACATACGGACTCAACTGCTGACACTGGAGAATAATACTAAATCACAGGTTGATATCCTGTACTATAACGTGTAAATATTGTGCATGGAAGAACAATTCTGTTTTCTAAATAGCTCCACCTAAGATAATTTGAGCTTCTGAATGTGAGACCTTCCAATATTTGGAACAATTGACATGTAAAGTAATAAAAAGCCACATATTTTCTTATGTTTTGTGTAAATATTTATTATAAGTTAACAGAGGTAAGTGCCAGACAGTCAGCGCTGCATTTCCTTTGTATTTTCACTGGTTCTAACTCACAACTGCAAATGGACAGATGTGACTATTCAAGGATACTGGCTGGTGCTGAATGTACAGAATGTGCCATGCTACCCACCAATCAGGGCTTTTCTTGACAGTATAAAAAGAAATTGTGCAATTTACTCATAGCTGTTTGTGTGATTTCCCAAGTGTTTCATAAAACTAAAATTTGCAGTAGTTGCACAAGTGGTATTAGCTTATTACTCCTACTTAAGAGATGTAGAGCGCCGGTTGCTAAATAGCAATGCTTTACAGAAAATGAGAGCATTTTTATTAAAAAGATTTGCTTTACTTTGTAGAAGAACAGCTGGCCACAGGGTAGTGGACTTACACAGCTGTCTCTGTGGGGGCCGCCCTAGGTTCTGGGTATTTACTATTTGTAGTTTTGTCTTTGGTAGCAGTTTTAGCTAATGGGGTCATATACGTGCTCCAGAGTTCCTTCAGTTACAGCCTGCCATTTGAGCCTAAACTGAAACCCATTACGCCCTGAAGCTCAGAAGAACTCTGTCCTATGCAGTCCTTTTTTACGTGTGAGTATAAATTCTGGCAGAAGGGTGGAACTGAGAACTGGAACCAGTAACCAATTCAGCCAGAACGAGGGTGTGCCCTAATTTCGGTCAACGTGTTGCTTTACAGATGGACAAAGGGAAAATAACATACCCTTAGTTCTGATCACATAATGTATACTTGATGAACTGCCATGTAAAACACATTTACAGGTTAGCCTGTGCATCCTGTCCTGTGTGGAATTATTATTTATGAGTAGCAAAGCAGAATTCCCAGCATCACCTGGTTTGATTTTAACTATTATGATTTGATACCAAAAAGGTAAAACTTTTACATCCTGGAAGTTCTATATATTTCACCAGTAGATACAGAATGTGGCCATTTTTTTCCTTCCAAGGCTACTGTTAATAATTTGTGAGTTATGGGTGTCCGTCAATTGTCCCAACAATCCCTGGAGATTTTTGGATGCAAAATCCAAATCCAAAATATGATTTACATTGTGTCATGCTGTGCATTCTGTTCACGTTAATTTGTTACATGTATAAAACCCTTACTCACAGTAGTATGTCAGCGCTGACAGGTGAGGGAGCACCAAGAGGTAATGAGATACTTTCCAACAGTATAATAGGAAGCTTGCAGCACATCGGTAACCTAACAGTTGTCATCCTAGCAAAACAGAAATTGAAGGAGAATGACTGAAATGTCTTTGCAGACATTTATAAGGAACTGCTCCCTAATACAGAAGAAACTGTCAGGGTATTCTTTTGATGCTAACTGAGCACTGAAAGGAGAAGTCAACCACTCAGAACTGAATGAGAAACAAGTAGGAGGAGGAACAACCTGTGAAAAGCCTTCAAAAGTGAGGAGGGATGAGAAGGGACTGAAAGAGAAGGGGGTGACACAAGCAAGGAAATGAGAGAGGAAAGCCGGTAGTGGTGTCACTGACTCACGCGTTTCTCCCTGGTGGAAGTGAGCTGGTGATGCCTATTTCTCACACAGGCCAGAAGGTGGTGGTGTTCTCAAACAGATCTGATTTCCCGTAGTTTTTCAAACACAGATGGTTTGTAAATATAGTAAGACTACTTAAAGGAAGTAATTCGTACTGACTGTCCCAAACTAAAAATAACCTGTCTAGAATGTGGCCATATTCCATCTCATTCTTCACTGGTATACATTTGGTACTGATTTTTGAAAAAGCATTCTGGTATTGTTAGAAAACATTTCCTTCTTGCTTTGTTCTTACTGTGATTCCTTTCATTTAATGCTGCTGGATTTGTTTAACAAAGTATTTATTGTCCAAAAGGAATGTAGCGGGTACTGCCCTCTTGTCCCTAGCTCACTGAATATAGAGAAACTTGCAGGTCACAAGTAATGTAAGTCATAAACACCTCTCGGAGTGGGCTGCTCTGTGTGCTCTGCTTCTCACATCATGCCAAACAAGTGCTATTGATTGCCTAATTTACTACTTATCCAGGCCCCAGATTAAGAATTTCTTTGTTTTTATTATTTTTTACCAGGAGACTCACTGTGTTCACAAATTATAATAGGTTTCCTATGCGTAAGTACCTGACAGAACTCCAGTGTCAGTCAAAGCTGTGGACTTCCAGTCCTTGTTCTGGTATGATGAGTCCAGCTGTTGTTCCTTTCTGAACCATACTGCCTCAGCTTTAAACAGCAGCAGGATCAAAGGCTCTTGAGAACCAAACTGATGCATACCCTGCAGGAGATACTCCTTCTCCTGAAATTGCATTATAAGTTTAGTACTGGATTCAGTGAGAATACAAGGCACTAAATGTTTAGGCAGGTTTAGACATTTACTCTAAACAAGCTTTTTAAATCACTACTGCTCAAATCCTTGTATTTTTTCCATCCTTTCTACCAAACTATTTAGTGCTTGTTCTCCTAGTTTTACTTTTTTTTTTTCTTTTTTTTCAGCATTGGATACAGAACCACAGATGATTTGTCTTGTGACACTGTTGAACAGATCAATCCCTCAGACAGCATCTGTATAGTGCAAGTCAGCAAAATTGGTGTCTGAAATCAGCTAAGCCCAGATTTTGTCTATTTAAATGCTAAGGACTCAGAAGTTCCCTTTATCTTGACTTCCACTTGAAGTCTACTGAAACTGCTAAGCACTTCTCTAAGTCAGATCATTTCTTTACTTGCCCATTTATGGGTAAGCCCGTCCATTTTTGAAAATCTGGGTTGAATCCCTGTTTCAGCTGTTGTGCAGATAAAGTAACACCTATCAATTTTGTAGTAACACTGTAAGGATTAAGAAGTCAGTGACCACCGATACCTTGAGGAGCAAGGTTGCTTAAATGTTAAGTCTGTGAATAGTTATGTAGAAGCACAGCCTAAAATAGCAGAGACAGCTGTTGACCCAACAGGTCTCATTTCCAGTCTTGCTACCTGAAATGTTCAGCTCTTGCTGATGCTCTTCTTCATGAGGTTTTTATGAGACTGTAAGGAGAAGACATGCATTTGAAGTAGCATGAAGAAAAGTACAGCTGCTATTTCATCCTACTTTTAATCCAAATCATTCTCATTAACTAAAACGTAGAGGAAAAGGCAAAAGCACCGTATTGCTTTTTGATGCAAGGTGGGGTTTTTTTCCACATAAATGTTGCTGGTAATGACAGGTACAAGAGATTTAGCATGGATCCAGGCTTGGAGAAGGTTTTTCTAATAAGCAGGTGATGCCATTTTTCCTGTAGAATTCTGCCTGCACGTGATTAATCCTTCCATGGTCTCGGATTGGCTGCTCTACGGGCTTATTTATGCGTCTCCCATACTCTGAAGATGACAAAACAGCGACAGGTCTTGCCATTTCCTGTGAAAATATAAAATTCTCCTTATAAGAAAATCACAGAGCTAATACTTGGCAGTTATCAACTGCTTTAGCTGTGCTGTGGCCAGGGGCAAAATAACAGACAGAACTGTACAGCATCTGTTATATGGATTTATATTTATTTAGCAGTGATGTGCACTCTCACTGTTCCATCCCTGACCTAGTTTTTTATGTATATTAATAAAGCATGAATGTATCACTAGATGTCAAGATGATAAGATAAGGAGCTGTGCCATGAGTTACTGTTGACTGATAATTTTTTACACACACGCACGCAAGTGTGTGATTACCATGTGATTACTGGCAAACTAAATGCTGTGTTACTAGAAAGTGGCACAGATTTTTTAATTCTTATTTTTCTTGTGCACTGACTTGCATGATTAATTTGAAAAATAGGAGATATTTAATTTGTATCCCCTGTTATAGGAACACCTACGCTGCTTGCACAATTCAGTGAAACCACTGCATGAAAAAAATCAAAGCCTGAAGAAAAAACCCTGAGCAACCACTAGTTCACGCAAGCTTTCCCTGAAGGACATAAAGCATATGCTACTGTATTTTTGCACAATGAAAGGTTTAACTAAAAATGCTTGTAGCTGTAAGATTACAGAAATAACTGCTCTGCAGCGATGGGAAGTGGACTTGGTGAAAAATAACCTGACCAAGAAAAGATGATTCTAAGCTTGTTCTTAGTAAACTGCACTTCAAGTGACTGTGCAATCACTATCTGCAATCTGCAGTTCCTTCCTCTGCTACAGCAATGGGGAGCTCTTGAGTCAGAAGGGAAAGACAGGATTTGTTTGTTTTTCCTTCCCTAGCCAAAGGTATCAGGCTGCTTGTATGTTTGCGTGCTAGCTAACACAGCAAGCCTTGGTCCCCAATGTGTTTACCTAGTCTTACAATGTAAGTATTATCTACAAGGAGAATCAAAATGTGGCCGCCACACCACAAATGACTTCTTTGCTACAACAGACACAAGTCTGAGCCATATCAGCACTTATGATAGAACCTGTGAAGCACATGAGCCCCTGCATTTCCCGCGAGGATGCATGGTGGGAGCACAGATCCAAGGGGTCTCATAGCAGGGCAGCCAGATGTGAGACGTTTCCAGACTCATGGACAAAAGTAGACCTGAGATTCTTGGGAAGACGCTGCAAACCCTTTTTAAAAACAAACAAACAGAAACCCAAAACAAAAAACCAAACAGAAAAGCCCACTCCAAAACAACCATTCATCCCCTAACCGTCCCCCTACCCTTTCTGCCTACCTTGCTCCACCCCATTAAAAGCTATTCAGTATGCCAACTTAAAACCCCACCAGAACAAAAATCAAGTCAAGAAGAGTGGCAGGCAGAAAATAAGACCAATTCCTCCCCAACCCCAGCTGTGGATAACTGTTGAATAAGGAGAAATGGCAGAATCTTCGTACCATCAAGAAAGACTTTGCTAGCGATACAGGGTTTACAGTGCTAACAACGGGCAGCAGTATGTAATTCTGATAGCTTGTGTTCCCTTTAAGTAAATAAGATTCAGTTTTCAGCATCCTTGGTAGCATAGCACTGACTGTGCACGGTGGCATTTTATCCTTGTGGGTTCGGCATTCAGCAGATTTCAGAATTTCCAACAGTTGGCTGGGAAGCATCCCGCTACACGCCTTCGCAGCGTGTAATTCTAGAACTGTTAACGCTTGAAATCAGCAATGGCAGCCTTGTGCAAACACTCCGCTGCAGTCACCGTGCTACGTGTAGCTAAAATGAGTATCTGTGACTGTACTGTTGGATTCCCTGGGTGCACCCAGGCTCTCTGCAGGAAATGAGGGCCTTACTTGCAGTGGTTTGGTTTTTTCCACTTCAAGGAAAGGAATGTACTGTGGTGGATTCAGCCTGTCCCCTTTCAGTGTTGCGCTAGAAAGATGTTGATTGTGACTTTTTTATTTATTATGTTCTATAATATAGTTGTTATTATGTAACGTCTGTGAGGGCCACTGAGGTAATTAAAGAGCAGGAGTTGAGTATGTGACCTGCACTTAGTTACGGGTAAGTCCAGTGTTGGGTGTCATCACGTGCAGGAGGATCATGTTGTAATATTTAACAGATGTGGGTTTGATGTGTCTCCATGCTAATTAAAGGGCTGGATTAAGGGACACCTGTTCCGGCAGACTCCCTTGCGTGCACTGCCCAGCAGAGCTGGTATGAATTCTGGCCTGTACGTGTTTGCTTTAGGAAGCAAACTGGTAGGAAAGTGAGTTTTGCTGATACTGAAAGGACACAAGAACTCAGTAAGAAACCTCAACTCTGCATTGATGAACTGTTTCTGCACAAATTTCCCAGCTGGAGCTTGGGCTTGGTATTGGGGGAGGGGGGTTCGCTTTACGTTGTTTAAATAAAAAGGCTCATTTTTAATTGGAGTAGCCATTTCCACAGCTTTTGGCCTCACGCAGATTTGCAGTTGAGTTACTAGGCACGAGCAGGTGCTAGTAATGGGCATGCCTGGGATTCCTTTGGGAGCACCTAATACTCCCTGCACTTTCTGATAGAGCTGAAGGGCGTGATGGCTATGCACTGAAATGTCTGGCATACATAGCTGCTAGTGAGAGAAATCACAAGCCTTTGTCCCAAAATCCCAACAGTTTTATTACACAGCAATTACAGTAATTTTAACTTTAGTCTCTCTCTTCCTTCTTCTATCTCTATTATATATAATCACCAACACAGCCATCCATTCTTAGCCTACCCACCTCTTTACATCCCATGAAGCCATCGGGATTTCGAGGCCATTAACACAGAGGTTGCATTTCATTTGTTTTTTGACAGTCTCTGCCTCTCTGTGTGTATGTGTATATAAATATACACACACACACACACTTGTGTAGGTATGTGTATTATTCAGATGCTGCATGGAAAAATACCTATTTATAAATATGTATGTATCTCATAATATTTCTATTTTCAAGGCAGCTGTTTAGAAACATGGCTGGATACTTCCTTAGCTATCAGGCTGGCAGATTCTGCAGGCCTCAAATGCTCTGCCCAGCCTTTTCCAGGCATGCCCGTGGTCTTCTAATTGACCCCTCCTTTGCACTAGTTCCCTATGAATTTCCTTCCTGCAGGGCAATCTGGTGTAAGTTTGCATAACAAACTCACCAGCTTCAGAGACCTGGGCTCTCAGCAAATGCTGGCATAGGGAAGGTGGATGTCAGAGGGCAGTGGTTGAGTTGGGATCCCTGAATCCAGTCCTCTCAGGCAGAAGAGTTTTCAAGCATCACAGAAATAGTTGCAGGACCACCTGAACTGCAACTCTCGAAGGGCACAGATGGTTCAGAAGTCACTCTGTATTGGGTTTGCATAGGGAGGTTTTGGTAGTGGGGGTACTACAAGGGTGGCTTCTGTGAGAAGCTGCTAGAGGCTTCCCCATGTCCAATAGAGCCAATGCCACCCAGCTCCAAGATGGACCTGCTGCTGGCCAAGGCCGAGCCCATCAGCGACAGCGATAGCACCTCTGTGGTAGCATAGTTAAGAAGGGGGGAAAAAACCAAAACAACAGCAACTGCAGCCGGAGAGAGGAGTGAGAATATGTGAGAGGAACAACTCTGCAGACACCAAGGTCAGTGAAGAAGGAGGGGCAGGAGGTGCTCCAGGCACCGGAGCGGAGATTCCCCTGCAGCCCATGGAGGTCCACAGTGGAGCAGATATCCACCTGCAGCCCAGGGAGGACACCACGCTGGAACAGGTGGATGCCCAAAGGAGGCTGTGACCCTGTGGGAAGCCCACGCTGGAGCAGGCTCCTGGCAGGACCTGTGGACCTGTGGAGAGAGGAGCCTATGCTGGAGCAGTCTGTTCCTGAAGGACTGCACCCCGTGGAAAGGACTCACACTGGAGCAATTCATGAAGAATTGCAGCCCGTGGGAAGGACCCATGTTAGAGAAGTTTGTGGAGGACTGTTTCCCATGAGAGGGACCCCACGCTGGAGCAGGGGAAGAGTGTGAAGAGGAAGGAGCAGCAGAGACAACATGTGATGAACTGACCGCAACCCCCATTCCCCATCCACCTGTGCCGCTTGGGGGAGGAGGTAGAGAAAATCGGGAGTGAAGCTGAGCCCGGGAAGAAAGGAGGGGTGGGGGAAGGTGTTTTAAGATTTGTTTTTATTTTTCTCATTACCCTACTCTGATTTGATTGGTAATAAATTAAACTATTTTTCCCCAAGTTGAGACTGTTTTGCCTGTGACAGTAATTGATGAGTGATCTCTCCCTGTCCTTATCTCAACCCAGGAGCCTTTCGTTATATTTTCTCTCCCCTGTCCAGCTGAGGAGGGGGAGTGAGAGAGCAGCTTTGGTGGGCACCTGGTGTCCAGCCAGGGTCAACCCACCACACAGTCTCGGTGACCCTGAAGCTTTGTAACAGAGGGTTTGCCTTGCTGTGTGTATCTCTTTCCCCATGCTTTAACCTGCATATGGCTTGTCACCTGGAAATCTACCGGATGTCAAAGAGCAGGAGCTAACTCAGATGTCTTCACTGGCTAACGCTTTTTCCTAAACCTCCAGGCTGAGGACAATGATGTCCTCCTTCTGATTCCTTTGATACCATCTAGGCTGCATTATAAAGGGTAAAACAATGGCTATAGTCTCCAGCCATGTCAAAAAGTACAAAATACCTTTAACGAAGGTAATTATGAAATTATCAAAGGGTTACCTCCTCATTAATGTTAAGACCACGACTCTTTGCGTGTTCTCTGTCACATCGGTGAAGATTTTTGTTGTAACCCTCTGGTCTTTTAAACATGGAATCATAAGCAGAAACATCTCCTGTCTTGAGAAAAGGGGAAAAAATGGCTAATTCACAGTATTGCTTAAATTTACAGGTTACAGAATATATGTAGTCAAATGAATAGTTAATAACTCAATACTTAGTAACAGTGCACATATAGCATTAGATGATGGCAACTGTAATATTACTGAGCTACCATTAGCAAATTTGGGTCACTCTTTTGGAATAGTCTGCAATAAAAACACCTAATGATGTGTGGTATCTTTTTAAAGTTCGGTCAGCTCTGAAATTTCCCTTGGGGCAATTTACCTCGATTTTTGCCTGTAATCTGTTGTAACTTTTGGAAATTTAACTGCTTTGTTTGTTTGTTTTACTTCTCTGAACTTTATATTCTCCTTCTTAAGTGCATAAATTTGTCAAACCATCTGGCACTGTAATGTAAAAGGAAAGCAGGCAGTTTCAGAATTCATTTGGAATGAGAAAAACAAAGGTATCCTGCAGTGGAATCACCATTTAATTTCTGATTAGAGAGGAACTGAGAAGAGTTCAGAAACACATGACAGTGGTAATCCTGTGATGCAGTAGTATGCATGTATCTGTCACATGAAAATACAGCATACCCCACGCCAGAATATTATTATATTTATGATACCTGTTGACATAGTTACATCATTAAAGATCTGATCTGCTAACAAATGCATTTGTGAAATCCAATCAAGTTCTCAGCAATGGAATCAAAGGAATTTCAAAACCAATGAAAGTTTTCAAGGAAAGAAAAGCAAAATACTCTGTTGAAATATGCTGTTAGTTGTTAATGAACTTCATTAAAAGGTCCATATTCTGGTAAACATGTCAATCGATCACTGGTTTTGTGCATGGCTGACTACAAGTTTGAAAAATTGTGCATTTTGTTGGGCTTTTTTTAACATCTAATTTTGCAGCATGCCCAATTTAGCCTTTGAAAAACTCTTGTATTTTGAGTCTTAGAATTTACAATGCTATCCTCCAAAAATAGTCAAGTGGAGGCAGGCCAAGGTCAATGGTTCCATTAAAAGGAAACCATTGGTAAGAGCGCTAGTAAGGCACTGCTGTAATCACAGGCTTCTTTTGGAAGGGTATCTCCATTACTTGGTTCTGCCAAGAGGAGACGTGGTTTGATATTTAACATATCCATCCCTTCATTTCTTAGAAACCATCAAGCCTCACAGAATTTCAGGCACGTTCAAGAGCATCCTGCATCTGATTTGTCACCGCCATTATTATTACTATTTCTGTGCTTCCTTGCTTCTCCTTTCCTCCCCACGCTACCAGTTTCGTTCAGAATTTTAGTGGGCCTCTAATTTGTGTTCACCACCATGAATGTTGTTTGCTCCTTTGTTTTTATTCACATGGCATTATTTGTCCATTATTTGTTAACCTGTGTCAGAGCAGATAATTCATTCTTTCTGGAACTTGCAGACAGGTATCCAGCCTGTTATGTTAAAAACTAGCCCTTTCCCAGATGATCTGTTTGAGATCTTCTGCCAGATGTGTAGAGGCAAAACTTCTGTGCTCAATATACTGATAACTTTTTACTGTTGTTTCTCTTTGTTGTTAAATACTGACTTAGTTGGCCTAGGTGGTGGTGGCGGTGGGGAGCTGTTCCTTAAACCCATCAGAGCAAGTGAATCACGCAGAGCAGACAATTTGCTCTCAGGGTGGGCATCCTCTGTATACTGCTACTAAAGCTAAGCACTTCGCAAACATTCATTAATATTCCAGACACACATAAAATAGGTAATAGCTTTCTTCATGTCACAGAAGAGGAAACACCACACAAACTGGCTACGGTAACTTATGTAAAGCGATCGAGGGAGCAACTGTCAGCCAAGGAATTAAAAGGCAGGGATTTCTGGCTTCTGGCCATGTGCTAAGCACGTCTTCCTCTCTTTCTCTCCACTTCAGTCTCTGGAACACAGTTGGTTTTAGGTATTTAAGCTCCAAAAAGGAATGAAAGTCCTTTTCCTGTATAAATAAAAAATTTCAAATGATCTACTTCCTTAATTGTGCAGAAGAATAGGTTGAATCTGCTTCCTCCCCTATGGCTGACGCCTGTGCTGTGAAGAAACCTATTAAACAGCTGTTATCACTTTTTGTTTCCATGCCACTGGAGCAGCATTTTCCACAAACCAGGTCATCAGGAGTATGAAAGCAGGCTTTATATTGCAAGCAAAAGCTCTACCATATGGCTGCTAATTCCATGTAGATTGGATAGACTGTGAGCTCCACCAGCCCCAAGTGCACTATGTCAGTCCTCTGACCTGCCCTACTTGTTGCGCTCTCCCTACTGTGTTTTGTTAAGCACGGCGCTAACTGTGCCCGTTCACCTTTAGCTCAGAGCACCTTCCCAAGGTAACACTGAAATCAACACCAGAGTCTGAAATTACAAATCTGCCTGTCTTTCAGCAGGGCCACCCAATCAACGCTGGAAATTGCTTTTGCTGTTCCTTTACTGCCCAGCGCTGTGCTGTGGTCTGCACCCTGCCCACATCCCAGGGCCACTCAACCTGCAGACTCTCACAGGTTGCCAGTTGTCGCTGCTCAGTGCTCTGCACATTTAGCAGCCTGTCACTTGGGTGGGGATGGGATTCCCGGGGTGTGATTATTGTTGTAAATAAATATATGTTGCCATAATATTGCTGTATTACATTGATATAACAGACATTTCAGAACTTTTAATGTTTTTGCAGGGCGGGGAAAGTCATTAAGTTCAATGTCTCATATGACTCTCTTCAGGGAGAGAAAGGTCTGCTACCCAGAAGTATAGCCCAGCTGAGGCTGAAGGTGTAAGACTGTTTTAATTTCTGATTTTAAATATGAAGACAGAGAGAATGAGGAAGAAGGGTGATACAATGCAGCAGAGAGTGAGGGGTGAGGCTCCCTGCTAGTCTACTTGAGTTACTACATGTTAAGTTTTGGGCCCCTCAATACAAGAAAGACATTGAGGTGCTGGAGCGTGTTCAGAGAAGGGCAACAAGGCTGGTGAAGGGTCTGGAGCACAGGCCTTATGAGGAGCGGCTGAGGGAACTGGGGTTGTTTAGCCTGGAGAAGAGGAGGCTGAGGGGAGACCTTATCGCTCTCTACAACTACCTGAAAGGAGGTTGTAGTGAGGTGGGTGTTGGGCTCTTCTCCCAAGTAGCTAGCGATAGGACGAGAGGAAATGGGCTCAAGCTGCGCCAGGGGAGGTTTAGGTTGGAAATTAGGAAAAATTTCTTTACGGAAAGGGTAGTCAAGCATTGGAACAGGCTGCCCAGAGAGGTGGTGGAGTCACCATCCCTGGAAGTGTTCAAAAAACGGGTAGATGTGGCACTTGGGGACATGGTTTAGTCTAGTCTACCCTTAATTGGTTTAGTGTGGACTTGGTAATGTTGGGTTAATGGTTGGACTGGATGATCTTAAAGCTCTTTTCCAACCTAAACGATTCTATGATTCTATAAGTGCCCATGTGACACCTTCAGAAGCATTCAGTTATGTTACTGTTTTGACTAGTTCTCTTTATTTTCTTTATTAAACCTGAGCATATGGAAAATTTGTGCGATGCGTATTGAAAACCCTTTCCCTCGACTGAAAATGGAGCAGTTTCTTACTAAAGGCCCCCCGAGAGCGTGCGTTACCAGAAAAAACACAGGTGCCACACCCAACGCTAGTGACAGATGATGCCTTTCCTAGTGTTCCCCCTAAAGACACCTTGCATGTTGGTGATACCACGTGGCCTGTTGGTCCTTAATCCTTGGCAAACCATGTGTCTGCTTTCTCTTGCCATCCAGTGAAAGATACTGCCCTCATTTTCTACCCGCAAGTAGCAAACACCCGGTACACTTCGCAAAGGCCTGCGAAGGGAAAACCTGCTATTCAGGCATTCGATAGCCTTAGCTAGCGACTAACACGCAGCGTTTCCGCTGGCCTTTGAAATATTAACGGGATTTTTTTTGACACCCGCCTGACCAGGCCCCTCAGGATGAGGGCCGAGGCCTTGCGCTGGGCCTGAGGCCAATGTCGTTATGCAGAACCCCGTGGGGAAGGCTCGTCCCTCCAGACCCGCCGGGCCCTGCGAGGCTCCTCGGCTCTGCCCGGTTCGCTCCCCGCCCTCCCTCCCTCACCTTGGCCTCCCGGTG